CCCTCCTACACAAGTAGGAGGGGGTAGGAGTAGTCTCCTACACAAGCTGTCCATGACTCTGGACAACAGACAATATTAGATTTAAGGCTGTGGCAGTAAATCATGATGATGTTCTCCCCCATCAAACCAAGCCCCAGGTGACTAATGTTTAACTGGCTGTAAGATATGAATGTCTTCTCCCTCAGAGGATAAAAAAAAAATCACACAAGGATAGTGAATTTAGAACAAATGTCATTTCATGACCCATTTACTGTCTATCAGGAAGAAACTGGGCTGCATCTACAAGTACTTCGACAGCACAGAAGTCAAGCAGATGTACAACTTCTCTGGTATCAGGACAGCATCTGGGAGACATAGGGTAAACGTGAGTTTTCCAATCAAAGCCATAAACCTTTAGATAACACAGCTCACTGAGTCACTGCGTGTACGAGGTGTGAGTGGGTGTGCAGCCATTACACGATGCTTACCCCGTTAGAAAATACCCTGCTCCTTCCTGCGGTCAATATCTCTCTTCAGTTGGCAGGTGGCGCAGATTGGGCAGAACATTACCGTCATAAAATCATTACACAGTGACCCCTGAAACACAAACAGTCTGATGTGATGCATGAGGCAGCAGAGTCCTACACAGTGAAGAGTTTCTCTTGGGTGGGGTTGAAGACTAATCTTTGTCTGCCACATGCAACCTGGACACAGGATTTTGCCCCAGGTTTATTGATGCAGGTGTGCACATAGATGACTCCAGCAATAGAAATGTGAGTATTCATGTAGCTGCTACATCCACTTGGAAGTTGAATCACTGTATGAGCATATGTTTACAAAGCTGTAAAGTACAGACAAGGGACAAATGAAAAGAAGAACCTGAATACACCAGTGGTCTCTACCAGGATGACAGCGCCCCCTTCCATAGGACACGAGGGGGTCACTGAACGGGTTGATGTGAACCATATGCTATGGCCTCAAAATTGGGTTTTCCTCTCATTTGCTTCCTTTCTGTATGCAAGCTTTACATTTCATAATTTCAGTGGGAGGCAGCTGAAAGATGATACAAAGCTTCGTAATGTTACACCTGAATTCTACAGCCGTGCTAGTGGCTCTGTGCTTTGAGTTAACTCATTGTGCTCAGTGTAGTGTATTAGCATGCTAACTCATTAGAACTCAACACAAAGCACAGCTGATGGTTGTACTTGATGGAAAGTCTGCAAAAAGTCATCAGGGCTCAGCCTCTGGGGAACACGAGTGTCTGTACCGCAGTCAATCTAATAGTTGTTGAGTTATTTAAGTAAGTCATTCTCAACATTTTCAGCCTGTGGCTGCTTACAACAACCATATCTTGTGTGTGTGTGGTGTACAAATATTTCACAAAAAGTAAAGTCCTGAAAATTTTTATACAGATTTGTGCAGCAGATTTTCTGGTTGCTCCCATTAATCATCTCACTGGTGCAACTTTGATGACTTAACAGTCTGATCATGTCAGAGTCAGAAATCAGTCACTTACCTTTAATACTTTAAGTACATTTTTGCGGCTAATACTTTTGTACTTTTAGAAATCTGATTTAATGTAATAGAGTATTTTTACATGAACCCGATCTGGTGCTTTTGCTGTTTCTTTTCAGTTTATAAAGGAGTGTTACAGTCAGCCAGCTCTAGAACTCCTCTGACAACTTACTCTGATGTTGTATCTGGTCCTATAGACGCTGCGGATGGGCATGCTAAGACCACACAGGCAGCACTCGTCCATATCAGCAGCAATGGTGCAGCCCAGGCATGGGTAGCACCAGCAACCATAGCAGCCTGAGGAAGAGGGAGAAGACACGTTTCATAATGAGTGTACACACTCTACACCTTGCATGTCTTAACACTGTGTATGTGTTAATGTATGCAACAGGAGTACTTACAAGTGCCACAGTCATCGCAGAAATCACACAGGCCCGTCTGGAATTCGGAGGGTTCGTATCGGCCTGGCTGGTTGGTGACAGCCATGATCAGGATCAAGACGTTTCTCTGTGGGATGAAAACAGTCTGATGTTTGTTCTTGTTCCCTACAGCAGAGATAACTATGAGTTACACATTTTGAACATCAAACAATAAGAAATCAGGACATAAGTTTCAGAATTCCCAGCCGGAGTAATGGTTACCAGAAGGTTGGAGAGTTGAAGGACGGTGAAACTGACTGAGGAGGCTCCTGCACAGCACACTGAGAACAGGAGGGAGCGCGAGTCTTTATCAGTGATCAAAACAGGTGACTAATGAGGTTATAGACTTTATCACTGTTTTACTGGCAGAGATACTATCTGCAAAGAGGACACTTAAACACACCCAGCCCACAGCACTGCAATAAACTATGCTATGGGCGGAACTTTACAGCACAGGACACAAAAATGTGCGTAGATACTAGGGAACAAATGAGGAATGATCTGCACCGTTCATAAGTACTTCCCTTATAATTCTAATTTGGGGCTCTGTTTTAAATAATGATGAATTTGTAGAGGACCGGCTGGGAGGTTAGAGAATGATTAGTTTATGATTATGGTCATGTCATTTAAACACCGAATAGGCATAAAACAGTAACTACTCATCATTACTCATTACTTAAACATGTTAAGCTCAAAACAGTGGAGATCATATTTACAAGTCCTTTATTTTTATTTTCCTAATGCACATTCTTTTTCTTTTTTGTTCTCTCAGTCTTCTCTTGTTTACTCGTTGCCTATGGAAGACCATTGTACCGGAGTCAAATTCCTTGTGTGTTAAACACACCTGGTGTCATTTTCCACCCCTGATTTCCTGCTCTCTTATTTTGAAAGGAACCTCCTGGTTTCCAGCACCTTACCCACTCCAGCTTCGCTACTGCCAATCAGAATCAGAATCAGCTTTACTGGCCAGGTGAGTCGGACGCATGAGGGAACTGACTCCGGTACAGTGCTCTCAATGTGCGTGAACAGTGTTCTTCTGTAAAGCAACAAACAGACAAGTAAACAAGATAAGACTGAGAGAACACCTGGCTGATTCCACTCACCTGTGACTTGTGGGCTCCACCCTACATATACGGCCTTGTTTCTCTGCTCCAGTTGTCAGATTGTCATTCAGCGCCGTGCTGTGTGTTCATGCCACCCCAACCCTGCACTCTGCCTGTCTGATCTCTGCCACCAAACTTGTTACCTGGCTGTCTGGTTTCACCTGTGCCACATTGGCTGCATGAAGTGTCGTCCTGCCATCTCCTGTTACCTGACCCCTGCCTACCTGCAACCTGATCCACATCCTGCCTGATCCTGGCTCTCTGGCTTCCTAGCACTTGCCACTTGCTGAGCTGCTGTGTTTTTCCAGCTATCTGTTCACCATCTGTTTTCTGCCTGCTCCTACCTTTCTCCAGTGTTACCCCTACAGTGTCACTGTTACAGTGTCACTATTTCTGGGGTGTGCCTGGTCTCACACTCCCAGAGAAGCTAAGCAGGGCTGAGACCTGGTGAATACACGAAGGGGAGACTTCCTGGAGAGAGCTGTGACCCATTGAGTACATCTTCCCCTGATGACCAAGAGACAGCTTCTCGGTCTTATCTGTTCACCACAGCCTGTTGGCCGCTCTCTAACCCATCAACAAACCACTTAAACCTGTTCAGTGCTGTGCATTTGGGTCCAGTGTTCTGGGGGAAACCTGACACCTGTGTGGAAAGGTCATAACAGCAAACACAAACTATATGTATAAAGCTTATTACATATCTAAATATTTACAAAATACCTCAGCTTCTAGCAAAAATAGTGAAGTACTTATGATTGTTCCTCATTCATTCCTAGAAACTATGCACATTTTTGTGTAGCATGTTGTAAAGTGATGCCCTTCACAGTGGTTCCTCTTCTTCTTCCAGGTTTTTTTTTAAATCATTTTAGAGACAAGTGTGAACTGTGGATGGTCTAAATGCAATGAAGTTTATCTCTAATGTCAATGTAATCTTTATTATATTTATGTCCATTGCATCTGAAAGGATATAAATAGTTTATGAATTTTTGTTGCATCAAATTCATAAAAAGACAAAAGGGTTTTAGTAGTTATGAGCTGTGTCAACAGGAGCAGTATACATAGTCAGATAACAATTATTTATCACTGGCAAATTTATAGTGTAATATTTTCAGGTGATGTCATATTTATACAGTAAATCACATGACTTTTTTCATCCAGAGATCCATTTTGAAAAAGTATGCTAGGCTATTTAAGATGGACTATTAGTACAAATAAAACATTAATAAGGACTCATAGCCTGTATCAGAGAACTTCTTTGGCCTCTTTTCTCAGTTTTATTTTGACAAACTACTATTCACAGATAAAAAGTAACTCAAGTACCTAAGAACAATTTTGAGGTACTTATACTTCATTATTGTGATTTTCCACTATTTTCTGTTGACTACACAATATTTCAATATCACATGAATTGGTTTACAGATTAAGATTCAAAAATCCTGTAATGAACATATAAAATATCAAATCAAATTTTATTTGTATAGCGCCAAATCACAACAAAAGTCATCTCAGGACACTTTACAAAGTAAGGTCTAGACCTTACTGTTATCAATATTATTACATAGGGAAAACCCAACAAATCCCCCTTGAGCAAGCACTTGGCGACAGTGGGGAGGAAAAACTCCCTTTAACGGAAGAAACCTCTGACAGACCCCGGCTCTTGGTGGGCGGCCTTCTGCCTCGACCGGTTGGGGTGAGTGGATAGAGGAGAG